TCACTTAAGCATAATTAACTTGCAATATTATATTCGTTTCAGGTATACAATTCTCTTCAATTCTTTAGGTCATAATCATTGTGTTCGCTAGAATGCCACCTCTTTCTTTACTGACAACACCACATTCCTGCCTTCCACATATTGCCACCATCCAAGAGGATAAGCAAGGGACCCATGGGCAGAAACAGCAGTCCCATTCACACAAGGATTGACTATCCATCTTGTACAGATTAAGTGAGCATGACATCACCTGTCAATCAGAGGCAAGAGAGGGTACTGATGTGAAGTGCCCCATGGGCAAGGCAGAGCAGTGGTCTCAAAAGTCCTTTCAGGAGACAGGAGCAGCCCACCATCCCGCCGCATGGTGTGGAGCCTGCAAAGGGGTGGAGTAACCACCCTGGCCAGGAAGTGTTTGAGTTACCCAAAATCAACTTGTCAACACCATCCTGGTGACCCACTGCTGTGTGATCCTACAAAAGAAATACGACACCAGCCAGGGAGAACCATCCACTTACCAGGCTGCCCTCCTGGACCCAAAGCCTGGCTTTAGGGCCCAAAGATGACCCCATAGGAGAAAGTGTGGGAAATTCTGGGGGGCAGCAGTTTGGCCTCACATATGGGGTAGAGGAGCAATGCCCTGAAGGGGAGAAATGGGACTCAGACCCACAAAAGTCCCAGTCCAGGGTACCAGACTCAGATGGCACTTCTGGCCCCAGTCAGTGCCAGACACCAGAGGGGAACTTCCTAAGTGAAAGGCACTCCAAAGTGTAGGGGACCCCTGAGGGGCTAGACCCCAGGTCAGGGGCCCTGTTTGCTGAGGTCTAGGGACTGCACTGGCCCCAGATATATAAATTTCATGGCCACCCAAGGGGTGAAGTTTGAGGAGTTCTACAAGACCCCAGGTATTCACATACTAGCCAACGTGACCAAAACTGAAACCAAGCTAAGGGTACAGCACTATGTATCACAGCACTGATTGCAGAAGAACGCTGTCCAAATGCGCATGTGCTTTCTATGGGCAGTGGGCCCAGCATCCTTACCACCAAATGCAGCTGCCATTCACTGAGCGCTACTGTGCGCATTACTCTCATTTCATTCTCCTAACAACACTGTAAGTGGGACTATCATTATTTCATGTAAAACCTGAAGTTCTGAGAACCATGAGCTATCCACGGTCACAACTGCTTTTAAGTGGCAGAGCTTCAATTTTACCTCATGTCTGTCTGATTCCCAAGAACTGGTTCTTTTTTCCAATAGCATGCTACATGAAATTAGCTGACAATCTGAGGGTCAATTAATTTATAATCTTGCCTAGGTGTTAATCTTTAGGTTAGGCTCCATCGTAACTGTATTAGATGATCAAAGCCTGGTGAAGGGCTTAGAAAAATCTACAACTTTCCTTAACTAGAAACACTAGTTCTAGGAAATGTTGCTAAATGATTAAAGAGAGAGGGGAGAAATTTCATGGAAAAATAAATTTAGAAATGCTGAATATTATCTCTGCCTGTTAAAGATTCCCAAGCCACATTAATATTAAAGGTTGTGAGACCTGCATAAGAAAACCTACTTAACTCTGTTTAAGCCAGCATCTCCCAAGCTATTTCAGCATCTCTGTTAGCAGGTGGGGACCCTCCATTCGAATTACAGATGGGCCACTTATGAGTTGGGTGGTCTTGGTCCAGGTAAAGTTGGACTCTCTGAGCCTGTTACTTATCACCTGCAAAATGGAGCTAATATAATAGCACTTCCTTTTGGGATTACATAAAACCAAACATGGATAGCAGCTAGGAGACAGCCTGGAATACAATGGTAGATTCCCTCCTGCTGACCTAAAAAGAAAAGAATTCATATTGAGCCCTCTGAAACATGGATTAAGCTACTCAGCTCTTTTTATTTGACTGTGCAGTATTGGGTAAGAGTCAGAAAACTTGCTTCTCTTAAATGATTCTGTTTCATACAATCTTTATAACTTCCAAGGAGGTACTGGATAATCAATAAGCAGGTTATCATTGATCAATAAGTGTGTTATAGAATACAGGAGAAATTTACAATATAGTTGCTCTCACAAAAATGCTTATGGTCTTACTAAGGTCATATTGTGCACTCAAATTAATTAAAGGCTCATTAAATAGTATATATGGATTACGATCCTTTACCTGAAACTTCTGAGGTCAGTGCATTATGAAACAGAATTCTTATGATTATAAAAAGCAACACTGTGAGTGTGTGTGTGATATATGATGTATGCATCCCTAAAGAGTTTATCAGAGGCAGTGTTCATAACCAAACATATTGGTGTTTCCTCAGCAAAATGTGTAATGATCATACAGCATAAATATTAAAAATAGCCTTGCATCATCAACTCAGTCAGATTTTACAACTCACCGAGTTTTGGAGCCACTTTGAAAGAAAACCTTTCCATTTTCAGAGCTTTGGGGATTTAGGAACATAGGATAAAGGATTGTGGACCTGTTATATAAGCTAAGTACATACACTGGAAGTGCAAAAAGGCAGCTACATTGGAGCTAAAAGAGTTGGTAAAAGTTTGAGAAATGAGGCATCATTTGGGCTATAAGGAGTTAATTTTCTATCCCTGGTGAGTAAGGTTTCCACAACATCTGGTCAACCCGTTACACCCACCAAGCTATATTTTCCTGCTTGAGTCACCAGGGTCCCACAGAGTTCTTTGGAAATTGCTTTCCTGAGATAGTCTCCACAGTCACATAGAAGCCTGACCATGAGACTGGTCCAAAGTGAACATCAGATAGGAGTACTTGTTGGAGTGTGGGAACCTTTAAGGAGTGAAGCTGGTGGGAACCTATAAGAGGATGTGGTCTCATCTGTGAATGAAAGCACGTGGGCTTCCATTCCTTGCTAATTCCAGTCTGTTAATAGTTTCCTCTACACAATGGATCCTTTGTCTTTTGGTCAAGAAATTAAACTTGGAACCTTTCAAATCCCATTCCCAGTTGTAAGTGCTTTGAGTTTCTCTACCGAACAAATGCCTAACACGGCTGATTTTCTCTGACACCCACTCTTCTTTCCTCTCTTGCATCTCACTTCTCATTTCTCTCTTGTCTTAGATAGTCTGTCTGTTTCTCCTGAAAGGGATCCCCGGGCAGGAAGAGGAGGCATCTGCCTGGTCCAAGGCTTCACCTCCTGCCACTCCTCCACCCACCTCTAAAATGTCAGGGCAGCCCACAGACGCAGACGCACTTCCTGCCCAACAACTCTGTTCCAATGACGTCATTGCCAGAAGAGGTGAGCCAGAGGTATAAAGGGAACGTTGAAGCGGGGGGCGGGGGGGTAGTCTGAGAAGAGACTAGAGGCAAAGCATTTATGTGATTGCCTGCCTGCCTGCGACAGTTAGGATAAGGGAAATTGGGGACGAAACGAAGAAAGAACAGGAAGATAAAAGCCAGGTCAGAGTAAGCCAAACCTTTCCTTCCCTCCAGTGTCCCGTTTCTGTTATGTCCCTGCCCCTTGAGTGTGTTACTGTCTAGGAGGTGGAAGCAGAGAAAAACCCTGGAGAGAGGAGATCTCAAAATAAAGTCACATAGTGAATCCCTATGGCCATTTTCTATGTGCCCACGCAAGTTTAACTACATTATTTCTTGACAGATATGAATTCAGACGAAATAGGCTGAAGGCAACCACTTACATCCTCCATTTATTCTACCCCATAGCTTTTCTCCTCTTTGAGTAGACCCAACCCTTTTTCTGTTGAAATGATTCACCAACTTCCTTGTTCTTAAGAGCGGGGGGGAAAAAAAAAGGGAAAGAGATGCTGAGTGAGAGTAAAACTCCTCCCAATCCTTTTCATTCTATACCTATTGAGCACCTAATGTGACACTATTCTACTTACTGACGTAATTTTTTTAATAGTTCTCTCTTTCTCTCTCTCCTCATCACTCTCTTGACCCACACTCCCTCTAACCACGTATGCCAGACTCTTTAACTGTAGGATCAACAGCTTCTCACCTAGCATAGCATGAGAAATCAGTGTTGGCTGAATGAATTTCTAAAAGGACTCAGAAAAAGAACACAGAGCGCTCAAAAAGAAGAGGAAAAGGAGACCAGAAGAAAGGGTGGAGTTTGAGGGCAGAGAAACAAAGGGAGGGAAAAAAAGATGCAAAGTGGCAGGTAGTAAAAGATGGGAGGAAAAAGAAAAAGAGTTGAGAAGGGTCAAGAAAATGAGTGCAGTCCTTACCCCCAAGATATGCTCTGTCTCAATCTGCATCACCATAGCACCATACCAGCAGAACCCCGCACTTAGGGGTAAGGAAAGGAAACCTGATCCACATGTTCTCCAGACTCAATCACAGATAGAAGCACTTTAATTTGCATCTGCAGCAGAAAAGTGCTGCATGAGAAGCCTGGGAGGCTTCTCTGATTGCCCTAGAGGCTCACAGTGAGTAGCAGGGAACCAGGTGGGTAAAGGATGCATTAAACTCTTGTAATCCACACCTAAAGGTCCCCAGATCAGGAAAGAGATTAATGACCAGGGTTGCAGGAGAGGCTAGAGCAGGCCTTCACTTATCTCTTTCCAGCAGGAGATAGGATCCAAGAGGCACAGAACCTAGAGAGATTAGACATCATCACCCTACTCTGCTGTGAAGGAAAAGCCCAGCTGGGCTAACAAGCTAAGTCACAAATCTAAGTGTAACAAGTGTCGGATTACTGATCCGAGTTCTGCTGGGCTAACTCGTAAATCTAAATTAGTAAGTGTCAGTTTGCTGATTCCCTGTTCATGTTTTTGCTAGCCAGCTGGATTTTCAAAGAGACATATCTGGCCTTGAAATGTTGATTTGCTGCCTCACTGTCTCTACTTTTGTGATAATGATGTTGCTAAAGCTATTTCATGCCTATTGGCCGAATACCCCAAGCTTGTACTTTACCTATAAAACCTCATGCGCACGTCTTGGAGGTGCTCAGGGCTTAGGAGCAGAAGCCCCTCTGAGCCCCCCGGCGTAATAAATCTGAGTACTCCAACCCTCCGAGTGGTGCTTGTTTCTTGGCTGGCCTGTCATTTCCGTAACATTGCCACCTCTAATCCCAGGAATGGAATGCAAGTTGAGTGAACCCTGGGACAAAGAAGATTTATATTTTCATTTTTGATAAAGAATAGACTAGCCTCTCTTCCCAAAACCTGTTTTGCAGGATACCTAAGGAGGAAAACAGCATGAAAAAAAGAAGTGGAAAGGAAGACAAAGATGAGGAGGTGAAGAAGTTGCTTCATGGTCCAGAAGTGACCTGGACTTTCATGTCACTACAGGATATTAAAATGTGCTTTTCAAGAATGAAAGTTAAGTAATTACAGTGAGGAGTTACTTGGCCTGGTTTGGATAATTTGCAGAATGTCAAATCGAAAGGACGGGAGCTTTTGTGACACTTGCCTCCCTTGAGATTGCAGGCAACAGCAGGACTCTTACAGACAGCTTTGACTGCATCTGGTTGCTCATGGATGAATACGTACTGGGGTATGCATGTGTGGTTGTGCTGCGTCATCTTCTGTTCCATCAGGACATTGCATTCCCTATCCATCAGGTCCGACCTAAGATAGTCTTTGTTGCTCTGAAAGAGAGCCTCAGCTTTGAGCATCTTGTTTCCTCCAACTTCATCTTCACTGACGAAGGTCTCTTCTGGTTGCAACACCACTTTGTTGCTAAGCAACAGGGTTTCGGTGGTTTGGGCACCTGTTCCCTCCTTAGTGGCCTCAACCTGGTCCTGTGAGTCAGTGGACTGGAGCTCGTTCAGTAGCTGATCACTGTCCTCCAGTACAGCTGCGGCCATCTGAAGTCCCAACCCCAGGCCCATCCCCAGGCCCAGTAGCAGCAGCAACATCATGAAAAGGATCTGCACCAGAGTCAGCTTCATTTTGCCTGGAGGAGAGGAGGGAAACAGAAGCACTGACTGTGAGATGAAACTACGAGGATCCAGTAGAAATCTTAGACCCCTGAACACCGACAGCATAGCGGTGGGGGCCTCCTCTCCCGGCAGAGATCCTTTCTCATGTTTTGCCCGCTTCTCCTATCCCTCCCCACCACATTGCCTGTGGCTGTGAAATAGCGTGTGGATCCTGCGGAAACGGAAGATGACCAGGGGAAGCAATTCTGCAACTGGCTCATATATAGGGAATCAGTGGGGAAAGTTGACATCAACTGACAAACAAGTACAGTGTCACACTTTCCTTGAGAAAAATTCTTGTAGAAAGTCTTATTCTCAGTAAAGGACTGGAATTACCATAGGGGACCATCTCCTTATTTTTAATCCTAAATTTATTCTTTTTGTTTTTTTTTTAGAGGGGGTGGGGATAATTAGGTTTATTGATTTATTTGAGGGGGTGGGGATAATTAGGTTTATTGATTTATTTTAATGGAAGTACGGGCGATAGAACCCAGGACCTTGTGCAGGCTAAGCACACACTCTACCACTGAGCTACACTTTCCCCACCTCCAAATTTATTTTTGCTCATTCATATGTTTACCTGTTACCCACTGTCCCCAAAGAAGATCAAAAGGAATAGAAAAAGTACCATAGTCCATTCTCATTCCGAAGTTGAGGCTGAGGGGAAGAGGGGATGCCCAATTTCACCATGTTAAAACTATTATCTTGTCAGGGTTGGGGGACAGGGTATAGTTCAAGTGGTAGTGTGTTCAATCCCCAGTACCTCCTCTAAGAATAAATAAATAAACCTAATTACCTACTCCCACCAAAAACAAAAAAAATTTGTATCTTGTCATATCAGATCGTTTTTACTACCATAGATGTCTTAACACTTGGCTATTTCCTGCTGATTAGCTTTTGTACTCTTAGGGAAGAAATGAATAAGAATGAAACCAAAAAAATCCAAACAACTGACCTGCTGGGCTTTGCCTACTAATAAGATCCTAAAGAGACTGAAAGAAGGAGCCTGCATCTTCGTCCTGCTATGCCGGCCTCATGCCCCTATCACAGAGAGATCTTCCCGACCAGAAACAAATATTGCTATGAAGAACATTTTTGAGATAATTGATAATATTAGAATATTGTCAATGGAGTAGATGGGAGTGTTATATCAATGTTTGATATACTGCATTTGAAACTTGTACCACGACTGTTTAGGAGAGTATCTTTGTTCTTAGAAAATGAACCTGAGACGCTAAGGTGCAAAGGGGCGCGATGTAGGCAACTTACTCTCCAAGGTTCAAAATATAGATGATATGTATGTGTGTATATGGTACGTTTACAGAGAAAGAAAGAAAGAAAAATTTTTAATGAGGAAAAGTAATTTTCAAAATTATGTGTCTGGATAAAGGGTATTTAGGAGTTCTTTGTATTGTTGCAAATTTTCTTTAAAGTTGAAGTTATTGCGAATATATTTTAACTTTTAAAAAAGAGAGAATATCTCATATTTTTCCCTGGAGCATCCAACATCATTGTCACTTACCTACACACCTAAGTAGCCTCAAAGACGCTTGTATCCTCCTGTTTCCCAAGTTCTTCCCTCCCAGGGTTTCCTTCTCTCCGAGAAGTGCCCTGGATACTGGTCTGCAGAAAAATGGTTATCCCCTTGTGGTCCAGTTTCCTTTAAATCCAGACTTACTTCCTACTCCCATTCCTGTTAGCACTCCCCAGGCAGCCCTGAATAAACACACTTAGCCAATTGCCCTTTCTCCTCCCATCAACACTTTGAAGTAAGGCTGTTTGGAAATTGAAACAGATCCAGATGTCCAAGACAGGAAATGTCTCCAGCCTGAGAAATGGTTGACAGTTTTATTTTCCTAAACAATTGTTACCCTCCTGAGTTACACCCACTATCCTGTGGTTTATAGCAGCCTGACCTCGCCCATGAATTTCAGATCAAGTCGGTTCCTTAGATTCTCTGAGTGTGCTTCTTTTAACCCTTTCCTAGCATTTCTCAAATGTCAATCTCTTTGGCCTGTATTGGGGTCATCGCTCCGACATGGTTATTTAAAGCTTTTCACATTTTAGAGCTGTATCATGACTTTATTAGGAAATTTGGAGTATTTGAGCCAGTGATGAATTTTTACCTACCTTTACCTATGAAGCCTATTCCAGCCTTCCACTCTCCACTCCCTTTTTCCAGCTCCCAGCTGATAACCCGGTAATTTAGCCCCAGGTAAGAGAATATCCGAAGCAGCCCCATCACTATTAGTCCCCATCGCCTGTGTGAGTAAATCCCAGAGTCTAATGCTGATTCTAATCACTTGTTTAGCTGAAAGTGACATCATGAGAGAATATTTTTAAAGCTCTCTGGAGATTATTGAAAACCCTCCCTAGACATAAACAGGGGCCTTTGGAAGGATGATTTGCTTTGTCATTCAGGCAGAAGTTTTCAAGTGGCGACCTGGGAACCGCTGCTGCAAAGTCTATCAGGCTGAATTTTTACAGTGCTGATGTCAATAATTTACAATAACAATGACAACAACTAATCATTATTGGCTATGAGCACTTACTTCATGTGGGCATGTACTGCATTTCACCCTCACAATCTGCCCGTGCTATTCCTCTTTGGTGTCCACTCTGCCCATTCCCTCTGGTGAGATCTATGTGCAACGTGAAGGCGGAGTAAAGAGGCTTCCACTGAACCCAGTAGCTGTCCGAAGTCAGCAGGGATAATATAGCCACTATATGCACCACCTGCTTCTTTATAATTGTTCACTGTTAGAGACTGTTTGAAATTAATCCTTGATTAAATATGAAGGAAGGACCTATGTCTGAGGTCTAAGTATAACCTTTAGACTGGACAGGTTTTTATTTGTTTTTTCTTTTTCTAGGCTATAATTTTCTTATCTTCTAAATTTGCATAATAGCAGCTCTTACTTCATCAGGATGTTGTGAATATTACATAACACCCTGCATGTAAAAGGATAAATGTACAGCTATTGTTATTGATGTTACATAGCAATTACCAACACCAGCTTATCACCTGATCAGTGCTATTTTCTTATTTAGAAATAGCATACTATCAAGTGGTAGAGAGCATACTTAGCATACACAAGGTCCTGGGTTCAGTCCCCAGTATCTCCTCTAAAAATAAATAAATAAGTAAACCTAATTACCTTCCTCCCCAAAATAAAGAGTAGTTTAAAAAATAATTTAGAAATAGCATACTAAGTGATATCACTTATATATAGAATCTAAAAATAAAAAAGGGGGAGGAGGGTATTGCTCAGTGGTAAAGTGCATTCTTAGCACACCCAAGGTCCTGGGTTTGATCCCTGTACCTCCACTAAAAATAATAACTAAATAAACCTAATTACCTACCCCCTAAAAAAATTAAAAATAAATCATTAAAAAAAACTAATGAATATAACAAAAAAGAAACAGACTCACAGATGTAGAGAACAAACTAGTGGTCACCAATGGAGAGAGGGAACAGGGGAGGGGCAGTATAGGGGTAGGGAATTAAGAGGTACAAACCATTATGTATAAAATAAACTACAAGGATATACTGTACAACACAGGGAATACAGCTAATATTTTATAACTATAAATGGAGTATAACCTTTAAAAACTGTGAATCACTATGTTGTATACCTATAACTTATATAATATTCTATATCAACTATACTTCAATTTTTTAAAAAATAGCGTACCAAGGACTGCAGCTACCGACACTACTCACTGCTTTTCCTAGAAGAAGTCAAACAATATCCTAGAATCTCAAGGAATTGAGGCTCATGTAGACTGATGCTTCACATCGCAAACAAAGAAAGTGACTCCAAAAAGTTAATGTCTCAGATGCTACAGATAAGTAATGACAGTTCTGATGTTAGAACTCCTGACTTTAGTTAAGCAAAATTTATGCTAGATAGGTAGATAGGAGGTGGGTTAGACAGAGAGAGAGCTAGAGCTAGGGACCGAACGGATACTCCAATCACAAAATTGACAATGAATCCATCTAAGATCTAGATTCTAAGTATAAGCACTATTTCTCACTGTAAATTAATCTTAGTATGAACTTCCACTGGTGGTCAAAATGGGATGGCAATGATTGGATTTTGCCTGAAATTCCTAGAAAAATGAGCAAGTTATTTGAAACAAAAGATTTTCAAAACATTGGACAACAGGCAATGAAGGGCAGTGATCACTGAGAGATGGGAAACAAAGGAGATGAGCTTCCTCCCCCAGCTTCCTCCCTGTGGAGAGGGTCTAGGCCACATGGCACACAGAAGGCGGGGAGCCCGCTCAGGGTCTGGTCTCTCTGAGTTGAGGAGATGGAACTGGGAGTCCAAGCGAACCAAGGCAACTAGAGTTCACAGCAGAGCACCAGAGGGGACAGGACTGCAGAGAAAGAACTCCAGACCTGCAGGAGAGAGGTATCACTACATTTCTACCAGAATGGCTAAAATTAAAAAATAGTGATAATACCAAACCCTGATAAGAATGCAGAGGAACTGGATCTCTCATAACATGGCCGGTGGGAACGTAAAATGATACAGTCATGCTGGAAAATAGTTTGGCAGATTCTTAAAATATTAAACATACAATTATACAACCTACCAATTACATTCCTGGGCATTTATCCCAGAAAAACGAAAATGTACGTCCACACCAAAACCTATACATGAGTGTTCACAGCAGATTTATTCTTACTAGTGAAAAACTGGAAACAGCTCGATTATTTTTCGACAAGCAAAGGGCTGAAGCAACTGTTGCATCCTGTGGAATAACCTATATATCTGACAACCTGAATGGATCTCAAAGGCATTATTCTGAGTGAAAAAAAATAATATCAAATATCAATAATAACAAAAATAATGATATCAAGTAATAATATCAAATAATAAAAATATCAAAATAATATACATTACTGTATGATTCCGTTTATATAACACGGAGAACATAGTAGTGTTTGCCGGGGGTTAGGGTGGTAGGGATAAGGATACAGGTGTGACTATAAAGAGAGACAAAGGGCATCTTTATAGTGATGAGATAGTTCTGTATCTTGATTGCAGTGGTTACATGAATCTACACATGAAATAAAATGATACAGAACTGCACACACACACACATGCAAATTATGGTTTTAATATTCTACTATAGTTAGGTAATATGTAATTACTAGGGGAAACCAGGTGAAGAGTACATGAGATCTCTGTGTTCTATCTTTGAATCAATAACTATTGCAAAATGCAAAATTAAAAAGTTTTTTTAAGTGTTAATGCTCACCCTCAAAGTTTTACATAATGATATACAGAAACACACACAAGATCCTTATCAAGACTGTCATTCACATTTTGGTGTACATCCTTACAGTATCCTCCCACCCCAGCCAACCCTGTGTTAATGCTAAGTGTCTATTAAAATTACACGTTGAGATGCCTAATAACAGTTGAACCTAGTTCGGAGTTCAAAAGAGTCTGCCTGAGCTGGAGATTCACATCTGGAGAAGACTGAGTGTCAAGAGAAGCTTGGTTTTTACTTCGTTTTTTGTTTTGTTTTGTTTTATTAAGATGGGAAAAATAACAGCTTGTTTATTGAAAATAAAGACCAACTCAAGGTGTTGAGAAATGAAAACTGGTCCTCTTTTTAATAAGACTTGGCACATTGTACATCTTAAATTTGCACAATGTTATAAGTCAATCATATCTCAATAAAGTTGGAGGTAAAAAAAAAAGACTTAGCAGAGAGGAAAAACCGATAAGGGAGGAGAAAAAGGAAAGAATTGTTAGAGCAATGATTCTGGGTGCTCAGACTCTGAAGATGGATTGGCTGATTTTACGAATGTAAATGTGTTATTTTTAATCTATGAATTACACTTCAGGATAGTAAAGGGAACATACAACATGTTTGCTATAAAAGATTGGATCTGGTGACATGGCTGAGATCCACTGGTTTAAAAGAATCAGTCTTGCTACCCTGTGAACAGGGGAACTACTCCCACATTCTACAGTGGCGAGTGCTACCACTTAGTGACAGTTGCTTGGCTATAAGAATTCAGGTCAGCCTGGGGCTGGAAGCTGTCGGGCTGTGAGGAGTTTCTTAGAATGGGAGACATGGAAACAAAAGAAGGGAAAGAATGCTGAACAACGTTTTACTAATAAGGAATCCAACTCTGCTTGGATCCCAAATATGCCATTAGCTTTTTTCCCCAGGGTTTTTTGTCATTCACATGCCCTCCAGATATACGAAAGTCCAGGATTGGGAGGAGATGGACACAATTATTATGTCTAAACACTGACTCCTCCATTAGGATCCCAGAGTGCCCAGTTGTCTGCAGAGTTTAGCATCAGTTTACCCTGCCCCACCGAACACAACAGGGTCCAGCCTACTAAGGGTATTCGGCAAATATCTTGCTAAAGAATGCTTCCTTATGATACTACGTAGTGTAGTTCTTACAGAAACAGTTCCAAAGGTTATACTCCCCTCAAGAGTAGCCAGCCAAGGGGACAAGTAGAGAGTGAAACCTAATCTGTGCTCTTTTCAGCAAACTGTACAAACGGACATAGAGCTGATATTCCCCAGAGGAAGGGGCTTTTCTTCCAATCCATGCAAAGGTGGTGTTTCAGCTTTCTGAGGACCTAAATAGATGCCTTTGTATTTTAGTTCACTTCCACAGAAATGACCTCATGTGATTCTTACAACTTCTCCACCAAATAAGAAGAACTAGAATTATTTCTCTTGTTTTGCAATAAAATT